AGATTTAGTTTTGTTTTGTTTTGTCTGTTGATGGGCTTGAACTCAGGGCCTGGGTGCTATCCTTGAGCTCTTTTTGCAAGCACTATACCACTTTGAGCTATAGCTCCACTTCCAGTTTTCTGATGGTTAATTAGAAATAAGAGTCTCATGAACTTCCCTGTATGGGCTGGCTTTGAACCATGATCCTCAGATCTCAGATTCCTGAGTGTGAGAATGAGGGTTTTTTTGTTTTTTTAAGCCTGGAGCATAGTGTGAGCATGAGAATGAGTTTTTTTTAAAGCCTGGAGCCTGGAAGGCTGGAGGTACAGCTCAGTGGTTGAATGCTTGCCTGGAATGTGGGAGGCATTGGATTTGATTCCCAGCATTGGAAAAAAGAAAAGAAAAAGGAATCAGGCCTATCCGCTAATAATAGTAAACTGAGCTGGGCACTGGTAGCTCATGCATGTCATCCTAGCTGAGGCTGAGATCTGGGATTGTGGTTTGAACCCAGCCTCAGTAGGAAAGTCTGTTAGATTCTTATCTCCAGTTAGTCACCAAAAAGCCAGAAGTGGAGCTGTAACTCAAGTGGTAGAGTGTTAGCCTTGAGCAAAAAGCTTGGGGACAGTGCCCAGACCCTGTTCAAGCCCCAGGACCAGCATGCACACAAAAACAAATAGTAACCTGAAATTTCTTTGCTTGGAATACCCTATTTTGAGAATGGATGGTGAGAATTTGGGTAGTAAGAAGGTAATGTATTACTTAATTATGTTTTGTTCCTGTATTTCTCACAGAATAGTGAGTTCAAATAATGAATACCAGACCTGTCTTATTTATCCAAAACATTTATTCAAATCTGTTAATTCCAAGCCGGGCGCTGGTAGCTCATGCCTATAATCCTAGCTTCTCAGGAGGCTGAGATCCAAGGATCATGGTTCAAAGCCAGCCTGGGCAGGAAAGTCTGAGAGACTCTTAGCTCCAATTAACTACCAGAAAACCAGAAGTGGTGCTGTGGCTCAAGTGGTAGAGTGCTTGCCTTGAGCAGAAGAGCTCAGGGACAGTGCCCTGGCCTAGAGTTCAAGCCCCATGACCGATTAAAAAAAAAAGCTATAAACTCCCCAACCCAGTTTCCCCTCATTGTCTCAATCTATTTGGTATCTGAGTTCTGAGAGAGGGAGAATTCTGGAAATTTAGATAGCGAAACACATCAAGTTATCTGAAAATATTTTGTTTATGCATCTTACATAGAAAGGGGAGGTCATGGGGCTGGGAAGGTGGCTCAGTGGTAGCCCTGGGTTTGATTCCTCAGCACCACATAAGCAGAAAAAAAGTCAGTAGTGGCACTGTGGCTCAAGTGGTAGAGCGCTAGCCTTGAGCTAAAGAGCTGAGGGACAGCTGGGCCCAGAGTTCAGACCACACAACTGGCCAAAAAAAAGAAAGAAAGAAAGAAAAAGAAACGGGAGGTCATAGCAGGCACTGGTGGCTCACGCCTGTAATCCTAGCTGCTCAGGAGGCTGAGATCTGAGGATCACAGTTCAAAGCCAACCTGCACAGGAAAGTCTAAGACTCTTACCTCTAGTTAACTACCAGAAAACCAGAAATGAAACTGTGGCTCAAAGTGGTAGAGCACTAGCCTTAAGCAAAAAAGGGCCCTGAGTTTAGGCCCCTTGAGGGACAAGAAGGAAAAAAGAAAGAAAGAAAGAGAGAGAGAGAGAGGGAGGGAGGGAGGGAGGAAGGAAGGAAGAGAGAGGTCAGATGATGATGTGTAATGACTCTAACTCAAAAATGTATCCAGGAGGCTGGGGGTATGGCTCAGTGGTGGAGGGTGGAGTACTTGCTTACCATATACAGAGGCCTGGATTCTAACCATAGCACCTGGGACAAAAATTCAGTTCCTGTGTTTGGACAGTCAAAATTCTGATAATTTATGTAAATGTATTTGGTTCCTACATATTTTTGACACTGTCTTTCTATGAAGCTCAAACGGGCCTGGAAGTCCATTCTCCTAAGTGCTGGGATTACAGGCTTGTGCCACCCTGCCTGCCCGCCCCATTCCTGCCCATCCCATTCCTGCATTTTTAATGTTGAGTAGGGAGATGTCAGAGAATGAGGCAAAACAGCTCTGTTTCAAATGTCTGGTCTGGCAAGAAGGGAGGTTTGGAGGCTAAGGGATACCAGCTCTGTCTATCTCAAATGCATCTGAATATATTTAGCTCTTGATTTTGGATAGTGATAGTTCAGACAAGGTTATCTGAATGGGGGAAAAATAACACCTTTTCCAAATTTATCAGGTGAGACTTAGATATACTAGCTCTGTGTAAAAAAAATATCCAGCTATATCTATTTGATTCTGTGGGGAGGAATACTTCTAAGAGCTCACATATGCTCAGCATTTATAGCCAGCCAGTCACTCTCCTAAACAAACTGCAAGTGGATTAACTCAGTTACTGCTTGCAACAACACTGTGTGCTACATACTGCCATTTAACAGATGAGGACATTGAGGCTGAGAAATTAAGTGACTTGTTCAAGAAGTCATATAGCCAGTGAATGACCACCAGGTTAAACCCTAGACACACCATTTACTAGCATTGGATGGGCTAAAGCTCAGGAGTAGCTGGGGTAAGGTTCAGAGGCTGGGCCATCATCTACTATTAAAAACCACAGACCATCTGGATGCTGGTGGCTCATGCCTGTAATCTTAGCTACTCAGGAGGGTAAGATCTAAGGATCACAGTTAGAAGCCAGATCTAAGGATCATGGTTAGAAGCCAGCTTGGGCAGAAGACTCCATGACTTCTCATCAAAAAGCTGGGAAGTGGAGGTGTGGCTCAAGTGGTAGAGGGCCAGCCTTGAGCAAAAAAGCTCAGGGACATTGAACTGGTCTTGAGTTCAAATCCCAGAACTGGCACATAGAGACCAAATCACAGACCAAGACAATTATGTATGTGAGTGACCCTGGCTCAGTTGTCTGCCTGTCCTAAGAGGTCTAGAGTCTGCTCTCTCCTACTTGCCCTCACACTATTCCACCTCTGTGAGTTTACTGTTGTTATCTGTCACTGGTGATGTACATTTCCTTGCACTCTGAAACTTCTTCCAAAATTCCTTTGGCCTCTGGAAACCACCTTTTTTTTTTTTTTTTGTCGGTCGTGGGGCTTGAACTCTGGGCCTGGGCGCTGTCCCTCAGCTCTTCAGCTCAAGGCGAGCGCTCTACCACTTGAGCTACAGCGCCACTTCCTGGAAACCACCTTTTGCCCATCTATAGATGAGGGAATCTAGGCTTTGAAACTCAAGCTGCATTGTTCCTCTTGGTCCTGATTTTGGTTAACTCCCCTCTTCCCACCAGTTTTGGTGGCCCACAAGAGGTGGGAGAGGTCATGGCCACGAAGACATACCCCACCCACATCCAGCTAGATGTCTACCTGCACAATTCCACCAGTGCAGGCACTGAAGAGGGAAGAGGGGGGTAGGAAAGGCAATGAAAGGGTCCTTTGTGTCACACACCGGAAATCTCACACCCAGGAAGAAAGGTGGGCAGGGATGGCCAGAGGCCTTAATAGCTTGTGACAGAGGGAGCTCTTCTCTAGAGGCTTGGCTCACCTGCCAAATTGGGAGGAAATATTTCTCACACTCTGCCTGTCCCTGGCATGGCAGGGACTGCTGCTGAGGCTTGGGTTAGGCTTGGCCCTGAGGTCACAGAGCAGATGGTCTCTTGTGGGGTACAGGGGGTGTGGTGTGTGCAGGGAGAAGCCCAGAGCTCAGGTGCAGCTGTGGGGACCAGTACATCCCAGGGTCTTGGAGCCCTTAAGTCCTTGTCTAGCATGCAGCCTGCCTCTTGACCTGAAATGGTGAGGGGAAGGAATGGGCGGGAGCAAGCTAGGATATAAAGAAACATGAACCTCCTTTCTCTTCCTCCCTTTGGGAAGTAGCTTGTCTGTCTTCGACCCTGTACCCAGTCCCTAAGTTATGCTTTTATTCACTTTAATGGTGCCTTGATCTCAATCAGGCCTCTTTACCTGTAAAGTGGCTCTGAGGAGGCTGGCTCTATGCCAATCCTCAAGTTTGTAGGGCATAAATTGTGTTCTGTTTACTAGGATTATTTCTTCTGGAGCTGTGGAATGTGGTAGATTCTTGAGACCTAGCCTCTCCTTAGAAAGGTCCACTTCCTCTGTTACTAACTAGGAAAACTATTACCCTAGTAATAGGGGGAATTGTTCCTCAAAACCTCCTCTGCCCACTCCTTAGTGGGTCCAAGTTTTGAATTCAGGGTCTCACATTTGCTGGGCTTAGTCAGTTTGTGCTGTGTCCTTTGAGCCGTGTGTGTGTGTGTGTGTGTGTGTGTGCGCGCGCGTGTGTGCGTGCGCGCGCCTGTTCTGACACTTAAACACTTAGGGTCTGAGCGCTGTCCCTGATCTTTTCTTTTTGCTCAAAGCTAGTGCTCTACCACTTGAGCCACAGCTCTACTTCTGGCTTTTTGCTGGAGATAAGAGTCTTATGGACTTTCCTGCTTGACCTAACTTCAAATTGTGATTCTCTGGATCTCAGCCTCTGGAGTGCCTAGAATTATGAGTGTGTTACTGGGGCCTGATCCTCAAACCTTCTCTTCTACCTACCCCTAGGAAGGAAGGCTAGGGCGCCATAGGGGCCTTGGGAATGTAATATTCTCTGCTGATAAGTACAAATGCAATTTACATTTGGGGCCTCTGTGTGCTTTACGGCTTTCTAGCCCCCAGCCCCAAGATGTTAGCTTGGGCCGGCAGACTCTGGTCCTCTATAAATCTGAACAGCCAGAGAGGCAGCAGCTATGCCCATGGCTTCAGTTCTTTACAAGTATCTGGGTTAAAGTAGCTTCTTGGTAATGCTGGACGTCCTAAAGGGATTTGGCCCTGAGGCCGCCCCCCACCCAGGGGTACCTCTAGTCCTGGTGGTAGACAGGCAAGGGTTAAAAGGTGTAGGACAGCCCAGTTCCTGGGCAGGTAGGCTGGGCCATTACCTAGTGGGAGGTGGCCAAGGCATCCAGCGCTGCTGCTTGCTGCCACTGCCCTCAGAACCAGGGCCTGGTGGAGACAACTATTTTTTCTGAGGTACCTGAGGCTACCTTAAAGCACTCTCTGGCACTGGTGAGTACCTGGGAACAGTGGGCCTAGGGGTGTGGGGCATGGGGGCTTGGGGCTGCGGTAGCGTGTACTGAAGTTCCCTTTGGGAGAGCCAGGGCTGTGGGAGAAGTCCATTAACATGGGGTGGGGGTAGGGTTCAGCATGGAAGGCGAACCTGACTAAAAGGGTGAAGCCCAAAATGTCCAATATCCTTTCTTGGCGCAAAGCAATTCTTTGCCAGAAATGGGTGAGGAAGAATGGGGAAGAAGAGGTGTATGTGTCCCCCTTCTCCCTCCTACCCCTGACTTTTCTTTTCCTTTCCTCTCTTTCCAGAGTAGATCCACCCCCCCAATAGCCCCTGTGACAAAGATAAGATTGGGCTATTGTAACACTCTCCAGGCATCTGCCTGCCCTCTATCCCATTTGTTCACTTAGAGTGATGGAACCTGGGGCTCCTGGGGAGGCTGGGGAACAATCTAAACTTTGGGAGTGTATATTTGCTTCAGTGGTGGCAGGATGTGGAAATGGGGTCCCATTGACAGTGTTGGGGTGCCACCCAGGTGAGGTGTCTTGGTTGTAAACAGTCATTACAGCCAGGAATTTCTTTCTCGGCTGTGGTGTCAGAAAGGCAGACCTGAAAAACCTGCTGGGCTCGCCTCAGGGTGGGGGGGCCCTCTTCAGCCCTCCTGCTGCTGCTTATCCCAGCGACAGCACAGGGTGACAAGACAGACCCGTGAGGTCACCGTGGTGGTGGTGGTGGTGGTGGTGGGTGTCCCAGGGGTCCCTAGGGATTGGTGCAGGGGTATATTGGGAGGAGATTGTGGGAATTCTCTTCTCACTATCTCTGGCTGGGGTTGGGACAGTCCTAAGCCCTAGGGCAGCGCTATGCGGAGGCAAAGGTTTAGGAGCCAGGTGTGGGGGTGTGGGGCGTGACCCTGTGCCTAGCCTGCACAGTGACCCCATGACTCATGCTCTAGCTATGTCCCTGAGGTCAGGCCGTCAGGGTGGAGATGGGGTTCCTGTGTGGACCCCAGGTCAACTTCTAAGGAGGCTCTGAGCTTTTAAGGAGAAAGCAGTGAGGCAGCCTGTGGTGTGGGAAGTGGAATTGGGCTTGGTGGAAGGAGTGAATAGAGGAGGGCTTAGTAGAACCCCATGAAAGTTGCCCACACTCAAGTGGGCCCTGGGAAACTAAGAGCCCTGGAAGCTGGGTGACAGAGGAGGCTGAGCTGGGGATGTTCAGGAAAACCTTGCCATACTGGGCAGTGCTGATTGGGCCTTAGATGTGTAGACTTATGAGGGCCATTGTAAAGTACACACTGTACCTGGATTGTAACAGGGCTCTAGAGACTTCTTCCCGTGTTGAGGGCAGAGAGTGTTTAGAACAAGGTATGGTTGCTTCTAGGGAGGGTTACAGATCCTGTGAGGTGGGTAAGAGGACTTTAGAGAAACAGGGTACCTTATAGGCTGCTGGGCCATACCACGTCATGTTGGGGAAGGGACTTGAACTGAGGCCTCTTTGTTTGCCTGGGACTTCCCCACACCTGGCTACCATGTCAGGACAAACTGTGGGTCTCCAGGCAGATCCGAATGGGAACTCTGTGCCTGTGAGATCCTTCCAGTCACCTGCCATGAAGATTAGGCCAGGTGGCAGGAGGTGATGTCACCAGGCTGCCCAACTGGGGACCCAGCAGGATGTGGGAGGGAGGGAGCAAACTCCAGAGGAGAGGACGAAGGAGGACTGGCAGCTGGCCAGGGCTGACTCTGTGGTCAGCCAGGACTGCTGGGGCAGAGAGGGAGACAGGTGGCATGTTATCTGGAGCTGTGGACTTTGCCTGTCGCAAATCCCAGCAGAGTGACTTCCTCAGTCTAGTCTTAGGACCAGGAAGGGTGGGGAAAAGGGCTGGAGGGACCCTGGTGTCAAGTAAATATTCCAGGATGAGGTTAGGGTGAGTAAAGACCCACAGATTTGGGTTAGAACCCTGGTTTGGCTCCCTTTGAGTTTCTTCATTGGATCATTTGTTCAGTCAGCCAGCAAACAATCACAGGGCACTTGGTGTGGGCAGCAGTGTTCAAGCTGCAGAGGATATTGATACAACAGGACAGGAATGTTTCCTGTCCTCATTGTGGAACAGGAAGAGGCACAATCTCTTGTCCAATAGCAGTTGTGAGAAGATATTATACAGGGGCCACCTGTAGAAGAAGGCTGAGAAGCATGGCTGGGTTAGTGAGTGGCTGAAATCAATACTCCAAATGACAGTCACAGTCTTGGCAAAGATCCTGAGGCCTAATGGACTGGGGAGCTCATGATGAAGCTGGTGGGGTTTGAGGAACTGTAGTGAAGAAGAGCATAAGACTTGGCCATGTCCCTGACTCTAGGCAAGTTGTTTGACCTTTACGTGCTTTCCTCTCATTATCTGTAAAAAACAGGGGGTGTAGGTAATAATAATCACACAACTTCTGTCCCCAGAGGCTTGTGAAGATTCATTGTGGCATAGCAGGTAACTGTTCCAGGCACCCAGGTGATTAATAAGTGCCAGCTGTTGTTATACTTGGTTGAATCTGTACCACTAATTCTCTCTTCCCAGGCAATATTCCTGGCTGTGGCCCATGGGCCTCTGAAGAGGCGTTGTAAGTCCGCCCAGCTTCCCACTTGCTGTGTTCCCACTCAATGGGAAGGGAACCAAGGTACCAGGGTCAAGTGGGTCCAGGCATCAACACAGAATTTTTAGAAGGCAGGCCAGGCCAGGAGGGTTGAGCCCTGGTTGGAGGTGGGCTGTAAAAGCCTGGGAAACTGAGTTGGGATGGGACTAGGGTAGCATGGGACATGCCTGCTAAATGCCTCCTGTACATTACTTCTAGGCCTTGTCAAGCCATCAGCCACGGCATCCTGACAACACCAGGATGGAAGTCAAAGGTCAGCTGATCAGCTCTCCTACCTTCAATACCCCAGGTCAGTGATTGGTTCCCCCTCTTGCTGCCTCCTCCCCTGCTCTGAGATTCTACTTGCCTGTTTGGGAAGAATTGGTCCCTGGCCCCGCAGCTACTCCAGATTGTCCTGATCTCACTGATCATTGTACATTTTGTGTGCAGCTTCCCTGTTTGGAGAGGCTGCTCCCCAGGTGAAATCAGAGCGTCTGCGGGGGCTGCTTGATCGTCAGCGGGCCCTGCAAGAGGCACTAAACCTGAAACTTCAGGAGCTCCGGAAAGTGTGTCTCCAGGAAGCGGTGAGGACCTGGCTCCTGGGGTGTCTGGTGGTAGGGGATGAGGGTCCCTAGGTAAGCCACAGACTGTTGTGATGGTTGCTGAGTCATTTATCTGACCTGTAGGTTCCTTGGTCTCTCTGTGTCTCCTTGAAGTTGGGCTTCAAGGTCTTAGAATCAATGTAATAGGATGAAGCAGGCCCACAATCCCTTGATGACTATTTAAAACCTCTAGATCCTAACAAAAACGGTTTCCAAAATTTGTTAACCAACCCCACTCTAAACCAACATGGAGTTTCAAAATAGTTCTCCTAGTGTGGATGTCCACAATGTTTACCTGGGACAATAATGGGTTCAGCCCATGCAGCTCAGAGCTTGAAGGAATGTTATGTGATTTGCAGTGTATAGATATAGACTTCGTGTAGACTTGTGTTGCTTTTTTTGCTGGTCCTGGAGCTGAACTCAGGATCTGGGGACTATCCCTAAGTTTTTTTGCTCAAGTTGAGTGCTTTACCATTTGACCCACAGCTCTACTTCTCTGGTTGTTGCTGGTTAATTGGAGATGAGTCTTATGGATTTTCCTACCTGGGCTGGCTTTGAACTTTGATCCTCAGATCTTAGCCTCATGAATAGGATTACAGGCATGAGCTAACGGTGCCAAGCCTGTGTTGCTTTTATAAAAACTAAAAAAGGGCTGGGAATATGGCTTAGTGGTAGAGTGTTCGCCTAGCATGCATGAAGCCCTGGGTCCTATTACTCAGTACCACATAAACAGAAAAGACCAGAAGTGGCACTGTGGCTCAAGCGATAGAGTGCTGGTCTTGAGTAAAAGAAGTTCAGGTACAGTGCCCTAGCCCTGAGTTCAAGCTCCAGGATTGGCCAAAAAATAAACAAACAAAAAAAAAAACTAAAAAATTCTGGACTCAGCACCTGCTGTGATGTGTGACTGTAATCCTAGCACTTGGAAGGCTGAGGCAGAAGGCTAGCAAGTTCAAGGCCATCCTGGTTATACAAGACTTTGTCTCAAAAAATACAAACAAAATTTCTGGATTCCAAAAGACGTTTTCCTGCTGGATGCCAGTGGCTCACACCTGTAATTCTAGCTACTCAGGAGGCTGAGATCTGAGGATCGGGGTTCAAAGCCATCCCAGGCAGGAAAGTCCCTGTGACTTTTATCTCCAATTAACCACCAGAAAACTGGAAATGACACTGTGGCTCAAGTGGTAGAGTGCTAGCCTTGAGAATAAAAGCTCAGAGACAGTGCCCAGGCCCTGAGTTCAAGCCCCACATCCAACAAAAAGGGAGGGAGGGAGCTTGGGTTATTGAGAGGCTAAGAGTCTATATTGCCTACCTTTTTTTTTTTTTTGGGTCCGGTCGTGGGGCCTGGACCCTGGGCGCTGTCCCTCAGCTCTTCAGCTCAAGGCTAGCGCTCTACCACTTGAGTCACAGTGCCACTTCAGGCTTTTTTCTGTTTATGTGGTGCTGAGGAATCGAACCCAGGGCCTGAGGCATGCAAGGCAAGCGCTCTACCACTGAGCCAACTTCCCTGCCCTGCTGGAGTTCTTTGACAGGAGGAAGAGAAATAATGTGTGTGGTTCTGAGCAGGGACAGGCTTCTTGGAAAACTTCTGTAGCTCCTGGGATTATCATTGCTTATTTCATCCCCACTGCCTTCTCCAGGAGCTGACTGGCCAGCTGCCCCCTGAGTGCCCACTGGAACCTGGTGAACGACCTCAGTTGGTACGTCGGCGGCCCCCTGCAGCACGAGCTTACCCTCCACCACATCCCAGCCTGGCACACCACTCCTTGTGCCCTGCTGAGGTGAGCAGATGAGTTTGGAGGATAGGTGGTGCCTGAATGGGACAGATTCAAGCACAAGAATAATGGGAGTTGGGGCTGGGAAAGTGGCTCAGTGGTAGAGTGCTTGCCTTGCATGCATGAGGCCCTGGGTTCAATTCCTCAGTACCACATAAGCAGAAAAAGCTGGAAGTAGCGCTGTGGCTCAAGTGGTAGAGCACTTGCCTTGAACTGAAGAGCTGAGGGACAGTGCCCAGGCCCAGAGTTCAAGCCCCACGACCGACCAAAACAAAGGAAAAAAAGAATAATGGAAGTTGTAGCCAGGAAAGGGAAAGGTTAAGATGAGAAGGAGAAGAGCTTGAGGAAGTGGGGTCCTCATATGATATTGGTCCCTAAATGTCAGGATGGGCTTCTTACCTTCAGGTAGATGAGCAGGCCCAGCCCTCATTAAGAAGGGCCCTGATGCTGGTACTGGTAATACTGGCCTGTAGTCCTAGCTGTTCAGGATGTTGTGATAAGGATCACAGTTCAAGGTCAGCCCAGTAAGGAAAGTCTGTTAGCATTTTTTTTGCTGGTCCTGGGGCTTGAACTCGGGGCCTGGGTGCTGGCCTAAAGCTTTTGTGCTCAAGGGTAATGTTCTACCACTAGAGCCACTTCCAGCTTTTCTGGTGCTTAACTGAAGAGTCTTATGGGCTTTCCTGCTTGGGTGGGCTTTGAACTACAATCCACAGTTCTCAGCTTCCTGAGTAGCTAGGATTATAGGCATGAGGCACCGGCACTCAACTGTGAGACTCTTATCTCCAGTTAACCACCAAAGTGGTAGAGTGCTTATCCTTGAGCAAAGGGACAGTTCCCAGGCCTTTAGTTCAAGCCCATGACTGACAAAAAAAAGAAAGAAAAAAGAAAAGAGGGCTGGGAATGTGGCTTAGTGGTAGATTGCTTGCCTAGCATTCATGAAGCCCTGGTTTCCATTCCTCAGTACCACATAAACAGAAAAAGCCATAAGTGGCACTGTGGCTCAAGCGGTAGAGTGCCAGCTTTGAGCAAAAGAAGCTCAGGGACAGTGTCCAGGCCCTGAGTTCAAGCCCCAAGACTGGCAAAAGAAAAGAAAAGAAAAAAAAGCAAGGCCCTGCTGCTGCCAGGAGCTGGTGGCTCCCACTTGTAATCCTAGCTACTTGGGAGGCTGAGATATGAGGATCACAGTTCCAAGCCAGCGTGGGCAGGAAAGTTCATGAGACTCTCATCTCCAATTAACCACCAAGAAGCTGGAAGTGGAGCTGTGGCAAGTGGTAAAGCTCTATCCTTGAATGAAAAACCCCAGGGATAGCGCCTAGTTCAAGCACCTAAGTTTGAACTCCAGACCAGCACAAAGAAAAAAAAGCCCTGCTTGAAAGGATGAATAAACTCCATCATTAGGCAAATAGGCCTATGCCCCAGGCAGAGCATGCCCCTTTATTGTCTAACTCCTATACATTTGGTCCTTTCTACCTCTTTTGGGGTGTGCAGGAGCTGGCTCTTGAGGCTCTGGAGCGTGAGGTGTCCGTACAACAGCAGATCGCTGCTGCTGCCCGCCGCCTGGCCCTCGCCCCTGAACTGAATGCTGAGCAGAGGCGGCGCCGACGTCAGGTACAGGCAGATGCACTTCGAAGGCTGCATGAACTGGAGGAACAGCTTGGGGACCTCCGGGTTCGCCTTGGCCTCCCACTGCTCCCTCCCCAGCCACTGCCAATGTCCACTGGAGCACTCATCACGGCTCAGGGAGTCTGCCTGGGTACGCGCCTTGCTCAGCTCAGCCAAGGTGAGCCATTCCCCTGTGCAGCAGCAGCAGTAAGTGGGGAAATGTGCAGGGAGTGGACTCTGGCTGATAGAGGTGGAGGAGTGGATGGTTGAGCAGCCATCCCAGAAGAAGGCAGACCTTAGGGGACTCACCCAATAAAGAGAGGTGTGACAAAGCAGCCGAAGGACAAGGGTGGCCTGATCAGTATCAGTAGGAATCTGGAAGGTGAAGGTGAAGACTCAAACCTGTGGCAGCCTTGCATTCAGGTAAAGGTGTGTGTGTGTGTGTGTGTGTGTGTGTGTGTGTGTGTGTGTGTGTGTGTGTGTGTGTGTGTGTGTGTGTGTGTGTGCGCGCGCGTTGCGCACTGGTCCTGGGGCTTTCCTTTTTTTTTTTTTTTTGCTCAAGGTTAGCATGCTATCAAAATGTATCATTGCTCTACTTCAGGCTGTTTGGTGGTTAATTGGAGAATAGAGTCTCACAGACTTTTGGTGCTCTGGCTGGCTTTGAACCTTGATCTTCAGATCTTAGCTTTCTGAGTAGCTAGGATACAGGCATGAGCCATTGATGCCCAACTTAAAGGTGGGTTCTTGAGGAGTGTAGAGGGTGAGGAGACAGAAGACAGACTGCGCAGAGGAGCCCATCCTTTGATATAGGGGATGGTGGCTGGTCCTGGGCTTTGGAGTGATAGATGGATTCTCCTTTCTCACCTGTAGAAGATGTCCTTCTGCACTCAGAGAGCAGCTCCCTCTCAGAATCTGGGGCCAGCCATGATAACGGTGAGGACCCTGTATCCTAAATTGCCACCAACCCCCTTCTGTGTCCCCTTAGAACATCTGGTGGTGGTCAGCCTCTCCTCCTTCTTAGCCATGGCCCATCTTTCTACGGATCTCTCTCTCTTTTTTGAATTTCACCCCACCCTTGTCTCCTTAGCTCCAGAACTTACTTTTAAGCCCCTCCCCTCCCTTTTTGCCCTTTTCATTCCTTAGCCTGTTCAATCCTGTCTGAGCACTCACCCCTTCCCTACTCTCCTAGCTCCACCCCTTTGCTTTGCCCCAACCTGGGCCCCATCATTGAATTCTACCCCCACTCTTTCTCTTCCACCCAGAGGAGCCTCGAGGCTGCTTCTCTCTGTCTGAGCGCCCCTCTCTGTCTGAGCGCCCCTCACCACCAAAGGCTTGGGACCAGCTTCGGGCAGTGTCTGGGGGGAGTCCTGAGCGACGAGCCCCATGGAAACCACCCCCATCAGATATTTATGGAGATCTGAAGAGTCGTCGCAACTCTGTGGCCAGCCCCACCAGGTAAAGGGGAGTCCCTTCCCCTCTTCCCCAGGAGCAGGAATGGGATCCTGAGCCTGGGATGGCAGGTGGGCCTGCTGGTGGGTGTAATCTCTAACCTGGGCCCCGACCTGGGCCTGCTCATCTCTGTCTAGCCCCACACGCTCGCTGCCCAGGAGTGCCTCCAGTTTTGAGGGGCGAAGTGTGCCTGCCACCCCTGTCCTCACCCGGGGCACTGGCCCCCAGCTCTGCAAGTAAGGGGACATTGAGGGTGGGCCTGAGGATCAGGAGGGAACCATTAGTTCTAACTGGAAGTGTTGAAGCAAAATTTCTGAAAGGTGTGGGACATGAACATCTAGGCTTTGAAAGGTGAATAGAAGTTGCCTTAGTGGAAAAGAGGGTGGAAATTGGGACAGAAGCATGAAAGCTTCTGTGTCTGTTTTCTGTATCTTTAGGCAAGTATTTCCCTCCTCTGAATCTTTGACCCTTCATTTGTGAAACAGCATAACATCTGCCCTTGAAAGATACAGACAGAAGTTTTGAGTAAAGTGTACTGAGTGCCTACTGTCTTCTAGTGCTTTCCATGATATTCACTAATTTAACCATCACAAGAGCCCTCTTAGGGGGTGGTGTTGTTGTCACTTTCTTTATATAGATGGGCAGACTGAGGTGTAGAAAGATTAGCTTGTGAGTAGATTGGAGTACTGGTATTAGAACCAAGACAATTTTTGACTCAAGATGATAAGGGGTGAGGGGATCTGGTTAGTGGACTGTATAAGGCCCACAAAATCATTTAGTACTGACAGAAAAGTCACATATGCTTCTAGCTGCCTGCTCCAGTCATCTTCTTGTATTGATCATTTTGTATGGCCAGTGAATGATGCTATAAATGTCCAAAGGGCCCTTGGCAAAAAAGAGAAAAGGTTCCCCACCCCTGCACCAGAGTCGATACTTTTAACTACTATATACCATTTCTTAAATACTAATTAATTGCCTAATTATTCCAGGCTGTAAATAAAACAAAATTTCTGACCTTTTGGGGCCCATATTTTGTGCATGGTGACTGGTAGGATATTGGGGGTGGTTCATATTCAGAGTGGAATCGTATGGAAGCAGGTGTTGAATTCCAGGCCTGACTCAGGGAGGAGCCCTGAGAAGGGTCTTAGCAGGAGCTGAGGGGCCAGGTGCATTTGCTCTTTGTTCATGGGCTCACATGTATCTATATGTCTTTCTGAGCCAGCAGCCCCATTTTCCATATATTTCCACACCCAGGGCCTTCCAGTCTAGGATCAAATCTCAGCTGTCTATGAGGCACCACCATTCAACACTTATATTCATGCATGCAACATTTAATCATGGGCCCAGTTTAGAGATGTTGCAAGCAGAGGCTCAGAAAGAGATGCAATGAGGAGGGCACTTGTACCATCTGTGATATTCTGACCCTATGCCTGTTACCCACCTCCCTTCTGTGCCTCAGACCCGAAGGTCTCCATTCTCGCCAGTGGTCAGGCAGTCAAGATTCCCAGATGGGCTTTCCTCGGGCTGACCCTGCCTCAGATCGCGCCACCGTCTTCGCAGCTCGCACCCGTCGCAGTAACAGCTCAGAGGCCTTGCTGGTGGACCGGGCAACAGCGGGGGGAGCTGGCTCTCCGCCTGCCCCTCTGGCTCCCCCTACTGCTGGCCCACCGGTCTGCAAGAGCAGTGAGGTGCTGTATGAGCGCCCCCAACCAACCCCTGCCTTCTCTTCCCGCACAGCTGGCCCCCCCGACCCTCCCCGTGCTGCCAGGCCTAGCTCAGCTGCCCCTGCCTCCCGCGGGGTCCCCCGGCTCCCACCTGTATGTGGGGACTTCCTCTTGGACTATTCCTTGGACCGGGGCCTGCCCCGCGGTGGCAGCGGGGCAGGCTGGGGGGAGCTGCTAACTGCAGCCGAGGTCCCAGGACCCCTCTCCCGCCGAGACGGGCTCCTTGCCATGCTCCCCGGCCCACCACCCATGTATGCACCTGACGGCAGCAGCCCCCTCCTCCGCAGCAAGGACCCCCACACCCGTGTCACCCGTACCAAGCCCTGTGGCCTGCCCTCAGAAGCTGCCGAGGGCCCAGAGGTGCATCCAAACCCTCTGCTGTGGATGCCCCCACCCACTCGGATCCCCCCGGCTGGTGAGCGCAGCGGCCACAAGAACCTGGCCCTGGAGGGGCTGCGGGACTGGTACATCCGGAACTCGGGACTGGCCGTGGGGCCTCAGCGCAGGCCTGTGCTTCCACACGTGGGCCTGCCACACCCACCTTTCCTCCATGCCCGCTGCTATGAGGTGGGCCAGGCGCTGTATGGGGCCCCCAGCCAGGCGCCCCTCCCCCACTCGAGGAGTTTCACGGCGCCCCCTGTCTCCGGCAGGTATGGGGGTGCTTTTTATTGATGGGTAGGGGTTCCTTGAGGCAGATGGCAAAGATATCTAGATTAGGGAGTAGCTAGTCATGGTGATGACTGGGACCACAAGGAAACTAGCTGCAGTCTTGGTACAGAAGCACTGTACCAGGCATGACCTGAATTAGTCCTTGGGATCCCAATGGAGGGGGATCTTGGGTACTGGTAACAGTTCTTTCTTAAGCTATAGAAGGATTCTGAATATTTTAACCGGTGCATGGTAATGAGCCTTGCGGCCAGGGTGCTGGGAGGAAGGGACATAGGTGCCCCTTGCTTTTTCTCTTCTTTACTCCATGCCCCATGCTTGAGAGCCCGAAGGTGCTATGGTGTGCCGTGCCTACCTCCACCTCTTTAACGAGCCTCTTCCTTTCTCTTTCTGTGTCTTGTCTGTCTTTTCTACTCTCTTCTCCGTCTTCCTCACCTGTCCTCCGGATTCCTGCTGTCCCTTCTAAAGATACTACACGGACTTCCTGTACCCCTCGGAGCTGAGCGCTCGTTTAAGTGACCTGACGCTAGAGGGGGAGCAGTCTTCCAGTTCTGACCCCCAGACCCCAGGGACATTGGTCTGACCCTCTCCTGATATGCCCCTTGTTGGCCTGGGCAGGACTACAGGCTGGGGAGCATACAGCCAACCTCGCTGAGCCCTAGGATGTGGTTGCTCTCAGTCCTGGGGATCATCCACCTGATCTTCCATGGCCCCTGGCTCCCCATGGGACTAGGAAGGTGTCTGATAAACCTGTTTCTCCCTTTACACTGTTCTGGGGACTGGAAGGGCCTCAGCTAGCTTCAAAGAGGGGAGATGATATGGGGACTCTAAGCCCCTTCTTCCATTTCTGTTTACAGTTGTGATTTAGTATTCACTGTCTTCACCCAATACTAGGCGTTTTATAAAAAAGGGAAACTGTGAGTTTGTCATGGTTGGGTTCATTTCTCTCCCCATGCCCAGTCTGTTCCTTTTAGGAACCCCACCTTCAACAAAAGGGACCATATAGGGTCTCAGGACCCTGTTTAGGGTAGCCAAGAGACTCTGGTGTGACTAGAACTCCCTGTAATCCCCTACCAGGGCAGTTCTTGTGCAGGTGGGCTCTCTGCCCATATGTAGAATGATAGAATCTGGATGGGGAATGCCTGAAGGAGCCCCTGTTCCTGTCTGTAGCCATAGCTTCTGTGCTGATCATCTGCAATCAGGAGATACCCCCCCCCACACACACACAGGAGGTTGGCAGAAGGATAGAGCCATTGAATATGTTGCATCCTGGGATGCTGTGGTGGTTTAACCTGGCAACTGGTAGATACCAATAAAATCCTCAGACGACATGTGGCCATGAGCCACAGGCCACACCACATCTTCCTTGGCTTTCCTTCCATTTACTACTTTTTAAACAAATTCACATAAGGTGTGTTTTCTATGATACCTGTCTGTGAGTTTCTGGAGCTGGGGTGGGGGGGATTTCCCCTACCCCCTTTACCCGATGTTAACTTTTCTTTTTGTACCAATGGATCTGGGCCCAAGATACTACCCACACTGGAAGGGGATTTCTATAATAAATGTGTAAACTGAACCCTTGTGTTGCTTCTTTATCTGCTTTGCTTTGGGGCCCACACCTCTAGTTAAATCTAGATAATACATTTTTTTTGCCAGTCCTGGGGCTTGAACTCAGGGCCTGGGTACTGTCCTTGAACTTCTTTTGCTCAAGGCTAGCACTCTACCACTTGAGCCACAGTACCACTTCTGGATTTTTCTGTTTTATGTGGTACTAAGGAATCAAACCCAAGGCTTCATACATGCTAGGCAAGCACTTGACCACTAAGCCACATTCCCAGCCAGCGTCCTCTGTTTTGATGCTATTTTGTGGTGTGAGATAACTTCTTTGTTTGACTGCACTCAGATTCCTAGCTCACTTCAAACAAGAACTCTCAATAATTTAGGATTGGACGTGTGGCTCATGTGGTAGAGCACCTTCCTAGCAAGCATGAAGCCTGGATTCAAACTCCAGTATTGCTTTTTTTTTTTTTTAGTCAGGCTCTTGTGGCTTATGCCTGTTACACTAGCTACTTGAAAAAGCTAAGATCTGAGGATCAAGGATTGAAGCCAGCCTGATAAGGAAAGTATGACTATGAGACTCTTACCCCAATTAACCACAAAAAGCCATAAACTGCTGTGGCTCAAGTGATAGTCCACTAGACTTGAGGGGAATAAAGCTAAGAGACAGTGCTCAGGACCTGAATTCAGGCCCTACTGCTGGCACAATTTTTTCTTCTTTTTAGTATCCAACTGACTGTACATACTCTGTCCTCTTTAATCTCTGTGTGTTTAAAAAAATTGCGTATTCATTAGTGCCAGAGATTGAACTCAGAGCCTGCTAGACAAGTGATTTACCACTGAGCTATACCTCCAGCCCTCTTCCTGTGTTTCAATGCTGACCCAGAGGTAACAGGTTTGATTAATGGTCTATACACTTGGCAGAAACCCAGTCATGTATAATCTAGCAGAACTGAAAAGCAGGCTACTGTTCTTTGAAAGGTGCAATGACTTTACCACAGAGGCCAAACTGGCTGAAGAAACGCAACACTTTATTGTTGCAGCAACACTGATAAATGTGCCCCATTCCCAGCTGGGGCTATCCCTGGCCCTTGGTCCTAGACATTGTGGAACACAGGAAGAAAGAGCAAAATCTCTAAGCAGAGCTAGAGGAAGGCTTCTAGGACTGATGAGGTTTAGGGGTCACCTGGGACCAAGGGTTCAACAAGGTCAGAATACCTCAGTTCACCCAGCTGAGGACACTTGGGACTTGGGTTTAAGATTCTGTTATGTCCACTTGGGTTCTAAACTGGGGTAGGGTCTGGAGAAGCCTTAGTCCAGGTTTAAGATTTGAGTATGCCCTGCTTGGGCCTCAGCTTTGGGGTTAAACATGGAAGACTAATTAGAATCCCAGATTTGGTTAAGGGAGTATCACTGTTTTCACCATTTGTGATTTGCCATGGATACTCTGATCTCAAACTAATTTGGGAGCTGGATATAGGTAGCTCTGGGTCACAAATTCAGGGTTGGGGAAGACTCTGGTCCCTAGGTAATAGGGGTTTGGGTATGAAGGACATCCTTGTTTTGGAGTGGGATGTCCTGTTTTCTAACTAACAAGGGGCTCTAGGCTCCTATTTTAAAGAATGGGAAAGGGCTCAGTTTCGGATATGGGTTGGGGGTGGGAGCTGCTCCGTTCCTGGATCCAGACGCCAGGCACCTAGGATCCAGCCTCCTGCTCTTGTCCCAACGCCTCAAGTAGCAATCCCATTGGTGTCCGCTTGAGACCAATGCTTTCAATCTTGTTCTCAATCTTGTTTTTAAGGTTGCGCAGGCGCAGAGAGGCATGCACCAGGATCACTGTGGGCAATATCAAGAGAAGTAGGATCAGTGGAATGGAGCCTTACCTTGCTGCTAGTTGGGGACCCACAAAAAGGAATCGGTGTAAAGATAGGTCAAAAGAGTGGTGAGTGACCAGGATACCAGGATCCTCAGAGTGTGACCTAGTAATTTGTTCTGCAAATGGGACATGGTCAGAAAAGATGACCAATAGCCTAGGCCAGTTTAAAGGCACATAACACTAGATCTGAAAAGCTGGTAATAATAGGAGTATCCCCAGAAAGAGGGAGTGAAACCTAAGAAGATACTTTTAAGGGAGGCTTGCTTGTGCTCCTGGGTTTCCAACCTCCCTCTCAGCTCAGGAACCCCAGCATAGGGTAAGCCTAGCCTCTTGAAACTTGTGCTGACCATTTATCCAACTATTAAGTAGTAGAGACTCACGAAGCACTGGCCCGGCGATGCTGAGCAGGAAGGTGCAAGCGCCTCCTACAGCCGAGAGAACGAGGAAGCCTACAGCAAGCACTGCAGCCAGGCAGCCGGCTGGGTGACTGCGACGGCAGCGGCGCACGGCAATGCGGGTCTCAGCAGCCCACACCAGCACACCCAGAGACACAAGGATTATTAGCGCACTCAGGAGTGTGTACAGAGGACGCAAGTACCTGTGGGAACAAAGGAACGAAGCTAGCCTCACCATCCAGCAGATCCTGGGCCCCAAGAATTTTGGAACCTTGTCTCTGGATCCTCCAGCCTGGCAAATTCTCACCCACCCTTGCCAAGGCCAGGCCCTATCCTCCAGTGATTTATATGGACTCTCATTTCTTCCATACCAGTCCTATAATTCCATCTTCCTGAGGTCTCTATCCCAGGCCCTCCCATCCCACTTAAACACTGTAGGCTCCCAATACTTCTCTTTTCCTTTCTTTTTTTTATGCCGGTCCTGGGGCTTGAACTCAGGGCCTGGGCACTGTCCCTGAGCTTCTTTGGCGCAAGGCTAGTGCTCTACCACTTAAGCAAACAGTTCCACTTCTGGCTTTTTCTGAGTCATTTGAGATAGGAGTCTTTTTTTTTTGTCTTTTCTTTTTTGGTACTGGGGCTTGAACCCAGGATGTTGCACTTGCTAGGCAAGTGCTTTGCCACTGAGCTACATCCCAGCCCGAGATAGGAGTCTTATGACTCAGTCATCCCAGGCTGGCTTTGAACCACGACCCTCAGCTCTGAGCTTCTTGAGGCTGGTTTTTTCTTCCTATTCTATATTAGCAGGGCTCCTCCAGTATCCTCTCCTTATTCCAATGTCCCCCATTTGGGCCAAACTCCTGCAGATCCCTCACCCAGGCCTTCAGTTAACACATATTTCCCACCTCCCAGGTCGAGGCACATTCCTCCCTCCCTTGCATAGTCTCTAAGCTCCCCCTCTAGGCTTTCCACCCTTCTCTTCTTAGTGTATGCTGGTCCTGAGGCTTCAACTTAGGTCCTGGACGCTGTTCCTGAGCTTCTTTTGCTCAAGACTAGTGCTCTATCACTTGAATGGCAGCTCTATTACTGGTTTTTTGGTGGTTAATGGGAGATGAGTCTCACTTTCCTGCCCAGGCTTTGAATTGTGATCCCCAGATCTCAGCCTCCTGAGGAGATAGAATTACAGGTATGTGCCACCGGCACCAGGCTTCCATTCCACTCTTCCAGCCCTGCCCAGGGTGCCTCCTCCAGATCCTTCATCTATCTCTGGTCTTAGGCTTCTCAACCCAGGTCATTCCTCTGGGTCCAAGTTCCCCAAAAGGAACCTGCTCCAAGCATGTTCAATCATAGCCCAGCTTCCCTCTAACACCAGATTCTCGACAACCCCACCTTCCAAAGCCCTTCAAATTTACATTTTCATCCCTGTCACTGTCCTCAATTCTCCATAGCTGCCTTAATCTGACCCTAAGACTCACATCACCTCACCTCCTAGATATTCTCAGGATCTCCTTACATTGAGATCCAACCTCCCAGCTCACTTTCCCCTTCAGTCTCACACTTTTCTCCAACCTACCCAGGTTTCCCATCCCTCAATCTCCTCCTCTCCCTCCCCTTCCCTCTGCCACCCCAACGCCGGCACTTCCAACAAACCAAGATCTGTCTCTTTCAAGTCCCTCGGACCCTCTATTTCTTCCAAATTCACCCTTCTTGGCCTAGCATTTTTCTTAGGTTCCCATTTCTGGACCCGTGACCACCCTCCATGCCCTGCTGGCGTCCCCAGCTAATCAATCGCTACCTCCCTCCCTCACCCAGCCAGAGCGAGGCCGATGCCAAAGCAGAGAAGGTAGTTGGTTTGGTAGTAGAGGAGATTGTTGATGACACGGTGGCACCATCGCTGAGGGTCGCGTGGATCCGGAGCTGCCAGACGCGCTGACCCCAAAATAAAGTCGTCTAAGGCTCGCAACGGTGGCAGCCGCACCTCCGACATCCTGCGGGCTGCTGGACCAGCCCGAAGGGCAGTCCGGACTACACTACCCATCACACCTCGCGGCACCGCGAAGCATAAAGGGAAATGGAAGCTGGGCGTGACGAACAAAACATGTGCACTGCGCAGGCGCGCCAGCTCACATAACCAGAAAAGCCAATAGCATGCCATCTAATTTACCACAAACAAGGTCTGCCGGGAAATCAAGCCTTCTTGCGGCGAGGGACATTCTGAACTCAAAACTTTCGCTGTCTCCGAGCAGATAAACCGCAGGGGACGGTACAGGGCGTTGCTGATGGCCCAAGCATATAGTAGCCAAACAGGCAGAGATTAAGGTAGCCGCGATTGTTGGAAGGACCCGAGCTAGATGTACTTCCTGTTTGGATCCCCGACCGCCACCCCTCCCTCCCCGGGAAACCCCAAGCCCCACCCTTGAGGTCGAGACGTAACTGCCGTTGAGGGCCTTTTATTCAATTCATCACATCAGAAATGTCTTCCTGGTAAGCTTTAAAATCCCCAGGTTGGATTAGGGACATTTTCTTTAGGCTGGGAGCCCCAGGGATTCTGCTATCTCCCGGGTTCCTAGTCTGGCCCTACGGGCACAGTCCTAAAAAAATGCTCTGGGGGAAGTGAGCTATTTATATAGACATAGCTCTGCTTGAGTGGAGGGTGGGCCCAGGCCTCATTAACGCTGGCTGGTGGCTTCCACAGGACTTTGACCCACTCCCCAACTCAGGCTCTGAAGTGTGCTATTGCAGGTTCCTAGCACAGCCCCCAGGGTCCTTAAAAGTCATCATCATCACAGATGTCAAGATACACGTCAAAAGCCTCTCTGTTGCAGTTTCCATCAGGAGTGAAGACATACTTGTGGAAGGTCCCATCTACGCAGATGGCTGGGGGAGAAAGAAATGGTAAAAGTTTAAGGGCTGCCAAAGCAGTAATCACAAACTGAAATTCTCTCACCTGCCCCATGGCCTGGGGACTTTACCCAAGTGCCATATACCCTTTACTGATCCATGATGGAGTTGAGCCACCTCTCTCTACCTTCTGATAGCTCTCAAATTCTTTGTGTGTGCACACCAGCACTGGGGCTTGAACTCAGGGCTTGGGCACTGTCCCTTAGCTTTTCCATTCAGAGTTATTGCTCTACCACTTGAATCACAGTTCAACTTCCAGCAGCTTTTTGCTGGTTAGTTGGACATCCTTTCATGGGCTGGCTTCAAATTGTGATTCTCAGATCTCAGCCTCCTGAACATAGGAGTGAGCCACCAGCCCCTGGCACCCTCAAATTCTTATAGGTCTAACCTTCAGACTTTTACCCATTCATTTTCCCCTAACCAAGAGGCTATTCCTACTCACCAATCACAGAGTTGACATTCTTGGAAGTATTGCGACCAAAGGCGCAGATGCAAGCTGACTCAGCAGGCACAATAAAGCTCGCCAGGCTCCATTGAGAGTCCACGTACTGCCCAATCATAGGGCCCACCTTGCCCACACGAGCCAGCCTGCAGGCAGCACTGAGTAAGCCAAGGTATGGTACATGAGCAGAGGGTTGGAGATGCCACAGAATGGGGAAGGGAGTACTCACGCAGAGCGGCGGTTGAGGCGGGTATCCTTGAGGGCAAAGATATGGACAGTGCCCTTATCACTGGAAGCACAGAGGAAGGAGGAGTCATGGCTGAAGTTAATGCTGGAAAACAGATCAACAGTGATGCCCATGTGACGTGTGATGTGAGGCCACCAGCCCACTACATAGATCCTGTGCTCACCAGTATAGGGTGGCGGGGTCAGTGCCTCGGCGCAGCTCCACCAGTTTCTCCTTGGACTGGGTGTCAAAAAGGCGAATAAGGGTGCCTTTTTGGGAGGCTGAGGCTACAACTGTGCCTGGCTGATTCAGAGACACACAGGCCACATCACTCTGATGGGCATTGATGGTAAATGGAGCAGAGGAAGTGCCAGGCTTTGTGCTTGCCAGGTCCTGGAGTAGGAAAGAATACTTTGGGCTTGAGAGGGGGGCTAAGAGTCCTCAGGGAGAGCCAGCCTTGCCACCTTCCTCTCCACCCTTTGCCCACTGGAGGGCGTACCACAAGTTGTAGACTTCCACATTTGTGTCCTGGGAACACTAGCAGTTGCTTCTCCAGGCTGGGGCAGAGATCACAAAGTCCTAGAGTGTGAGGATGAAGTGGAGGTGAGCAAGTAAAGGGTCTCAGAATGGAGCTAGAGAAAGGCCAGACTTCAACAACCCCCTCTAAAAAGCTGTAGCTCCTAATAAGCTGTTCTGACAGCTTCCCGACACATCCACCTATATCCTCACCAGATGTTTTATGCAGTCATCTGGGGCACCCAGGGCAGGGCCAAGGATGGGGAGCAGGAACTGAGGGATGGAATGGACTGAATCTCTGGGCACACTCTGTGCAGGGTGTCTCTCTTCCTGTCTTTTTCCCAGCATGTACCCATTCTTTTCACTCATCTCTGTCCTATACCCAGTCTCCTACCATTACACATGCATATCAAGAGTCCTCTCACCTTTGGGGTTGTCTCGGGTGTCAAACTCAAATAGCTTTCGGGGATTGTCAGGGAAGGAGTATACATAGATGCGGTTCCTCAGCACGATCACGATCCTGCAGGTGTCACATGATACAGGATTGCCATGAAGAGAGAGAGTAGCTGTCCAGGTAAGACTCTCACTTGCTGTTGGGACTCTTCCCCCCCACCCCAGTCTTCCTTAAGCTCACTTGTCATGGCGCATGCGTACAGCCAGCACTGGCTTGGTGAAGGTGAACTCCAGCACCAGCTTGTCCTTGGAGTCCTTGCCCTCCCGGGCATCGTCCCATATCAGCACTGCCGGGCAGGTGGGTAGGTTGGCCAAGGTTTAAGGTGAGGGGCAGCCCTGGTGACTCAGGACCCACCTCTATTCCCCACAGGGCTTCAACTCACTCACCTGGCATTTCTCTAAACATTCAATGTGAGCATTACCCAGAATGAATACTTAAAAGACTCAATGTCTGAGAGAATGGGTTCTAGAAAGGCTATCATTTGGACATGAGACAATCAAGGGTTGAAGGGGCTGAATGTCTGGATAAGGAATTAGTCCATGAACAAACAAATTCATTCCCAGGCCTGGAACTTACCCCTCAGTAGTTATTTCTGCCTCCAGAGTCCCAGTTATACCCCAGGAGCTTTCTAAGAGGAATTCTAGGGCTCTGTCACTCACCTAGGTAACTCTTGCCATGTTGTGGTGGGATCAACAGGCAAACCCCTTAAAAGCAGATGGCACTTGAGGCCCAGGTCAAGGGGGTGTTGGAGAGATGGCTCCAAAATTTGGAAACATATTGGCTGTGTGGTCACTTACCCTCCCTACCCATTTCCTCATAGGTTCAAATGGGGATAATGAGGGCTGGGGGCATGGCTTAGTGGCAGAACATATCCTTAGCATGTGCAATGCCCTGGGTTCCATCCCTAGCACTGCAAAACATAAGGGAGGATGGGATGGTACTTCCTTTCACATGGAGTTAGTATGAGAAATTACTGTATGTAATATAGACTGCTCAGAAAAGTTATCTGCTGCACAGTAAGTGCTCCATAGTTAAGGAAATGGCATACAAAGGGTACTCAATAAGTGCTCTTGCTTTGTTTTTGTGATTATAGGAACCCAATCCAAGGTCTTGTGCATGTCAGGCAAGTGCTATACCACCTCCAGGCCCATTAACTGTTTTTTGGTGTCCTCTCTCTCTCTCTCTCTGTGCTGGTCCTGGGGCTTAAAACTCAGGACCTGGACACTGTCCTTGATCCTTTTTTTGCCCAAGGATAGTGCTCTACCACTTGAGCTACAGCTCCACTTCTCACTTTTTGGTGGTTAATTTGAAAATAAAGTGTCTCACAGATTTTCTTCCTGACCTGGCTTCAAACTGTGATCCTCAGACGTTGGCCTCCTGAGTAGCTAGGATTAAAGGCAGGAGCCCCTGGAGGAACCCAGCTCCAATAACTTTTGTTTGTCAGTCCTGGGGCTTGAACTCAGGGCCTGGGAACTGTCCCTGAGCTTCTTTTTGCTCAAGGCTAGCACTCTACCACTTGAGCCACACATAACGCCACTTGTGCTAGGGTGCCAATGTTTTGGTTTTTTTTTCATGATAACATAACACTAAGGTGCTACAGTTATAAGATTTGTGACTTTTCAACTGTGGGCCTCACTGTGGGACTCTGAGGTGCTGACACCTTCATCTGTCAGTGCCTCTGGGTGTTTGTGGGAAGCCAGGAATTCAGGGCATCTGGGCCAAGGATAGGCTGGGCACTTACCTGAGATTTCTGAGAACTTGGGGCTGCCACCACCGCCTACCAGGGCCAGCAAGTTGGAGCGGTGCAGCATCTCTACCAGGCCAATGCTGCCCACCTGTTCATGGTCTGGACAGGGACCAAGGTGTCAGTGGAAGTGCCTAACCATGTCTGGCCCTTCTGCCAACACTGCTTCCCACTCCCAGCTCACCCAGATGCCCCTTCTCCATCAGTGGCTCCACATTGTAGATTCGCACACCTGTTTCCATGGCGCAGCAAAAACAGCCTGGAGATAAAAGGAGTCTGACTGCTTTAGACATGCTCAAGGGAGAAGATGGGCCCTTCTTCCCTTCCCCCTTCCCTCCCACAAGAATACCAGTGCAAGCCTCCCTTACTTTGATCTTGGTTAAACCGTAGGCTGGTTACTCCTCGAAGTGGCTGAGACATGTTCCAGAATTGCTGTCGCATACACAAATAGGATACAGTTGAGATGATTTTCCAAGCACTAGAGACTTCTGTCCACAAGTCGCTTCCTCTTTCCGACTCGGCTGACTTCTTTGCTGGTCTGTAAAGAAGACAAAAACAATCATGGAGCCAGGCGCTGGTGGCTCATGCCTGTAATCCTAGCTACTCAGGAGGCTGAGATCTGAGGATCACAGTTCAAAGCCAGCCTGGGCAGGAAAACCCATGATACTGCCATCTCCAATTAACCAGTAGAAAACGGGAAATGGTGGTATGGCTCAAAGTGCTAG